ATGACTTACGTGAACGTACTCTTTGTCCCATTCAACTTATACTGACGTATCACGTAATTTTCGTTCGTATCGTTTTCGATCCGTGAACGGATGGTACGATTCGAGCCCAGTACGTCTGGTAACCGTAGGCAACTAGCAACGCAGCTGAAGTTCGATTACTATCGATAATCGGCCCAATAAACATTAACAGCATCCCGTTGGTAGCATTCTGTTATTTAACATTTCGAATTAACATACTCGGCTCGAATCGTCACATACGAGATCGTATTACTCGTCACGTAAAAACACAGTTTTCGGATTATGACGTACGTGAACGTACTTTTTACCCCATTTAGCTTATACGACTGACGGTAACACGTAATTTTGTTTCGTATGGTTTTCGATCCGTGAACGGATGTTACGATTCGAGCCCAGATCTGCGACATGTTACTAACATTTGCTTGGACTGCTATTAACAGTAGATTAACATTCTCTGCTATTAACATTTGTTTTCAATGTTCATAACCAGAGAATGTTAATGAAATGAGAAGGAGCAAATGTTAATGTTAAATTTTTTTAGTACTACTAAATTCTGAAAGGCTTGAGATGCGGGAGTTCACCAAAATAAATATTTGATGCGAGAGTTCACCAAACTAAATTTTTTACCACAGAAAGGGATGAAATTTTTCACCTTTTTGCTTTGCTCTTGCGATATACCGTTAGGCTAAAATAAAAATTGGCTATTTTTAGATTTTTTATAAGAAAAGCGGAGAAATGGTAAAAAAATACCAAAAATGTAATTTGGCTATTTCTAGATTTTGTTAAAAGTAGAAATGCGCAAAAATTTTAAAAAAATGGGGAAAGGGAAAATAAAATCAAATCAACTAACGTCCAAAGTTGTCGAAACGAAAAAATCTTGTAAGCGCGCGGTTGTCGTTTTATGAAAAGTGAATTTTAAGTCACACACTTTTCAATTGACACTTCATGTAAATATTAAAAAAAAAATTAAATTAATTAAAAAAATATATGATTGTACATTTGTGGCAAAGATCAGAGTTTCTGACTGGAAACTCCTGGCATCAAGCCTTTTATCCATATATAAAACCAAATAAGCATTTAATCATTACTTTATTTTTTTTTTTTGCTTAAAAATAATAATTAGTTATAGGTAATTATTATTAAAAATTTCGGGACTTATTCCTTTTATTTAAGTGTCGCTACCTCAGAAAATGATATTTTGAGTTTTTTTAATAATCATTACTCTTAAGTGAAAAAATAAAACTCAATAATTTTTATCTTTGAGCGAAAAAATAAAAATCATAAAATAATCACTATTTTTTATCAAAAAAATAAAAATCGTTTAATAATAATTTTTATTTTGAGGGAAAAAATAAAACTCAAGTATTAATTATTAAATCTATGAAATCTTTATTGGTTGAACTCGAAAAATAAAAAATTATTATAAGTTCCAGTAGAAAATATGTCGATTATAACTTGTTGATTTTTTGGTTACAATTTTAAAAATTATGATTATTTTCCGTCCCTGTTTATAACTATGAACTGCACATTTTTATGATATAAAAAAATCAAATTAAATAAAATATAATCAGGTAAAATTAAATTAAATAAACTAGTAAAATAAATTAGAATAATTAAATTAAATAAAAATAAATAATAAATTTAACTAATAATATAAAATAATCAAAATAAATTAAACTAATAAAATAAAATAATGAAATAAAATAAAATAAAAGATAATAAAATAAAATAATCAAATTAAATTAAATAAACTAATAAAATAAAAAAATCAAATTAAATTAAATAAACTAATAAAATAAAATAATCAAATTTAATTAAATAAACTAGTAAAATAAAATAGTACGAAATAAACTAATAAAATAAAATTAAAAAATAGTAATAATAAAATAATAAAATAAAATCTAGTTAAATTAAACTACATAAATACACTAATAAAATAAAATAAAATAATATCAAAAATAAAAACCTAAATTAAATAAAGCAGTCAAATAAAATATGGGTTCTTTTTAAAATTTCAGGTTTTTATTGTTTCATTTCAGTTTTTTTCTTTTTAAGATTTCAGGTTTTTTCAGTTTTTTTTTTATTTTTTTATTTCAGGACTTTTTAAATCCCATAATTTAAGTTTTTTATATTTTTTTCCTGTTCTTTTTATGTAATTTAAAATTTTTTAAATGGTTTATTTGCACTTTTTTCATATCATTATAATGAGTTTAATTCTTTTGATTATGGTTCATAACATACTTATGATTAAATAAAGGCATATTAATAAAAAAAAATTATAAAAGAAAACCTGATTTTTGATAAAATTTTGATAGGTTTTGGTAGGTTTTTCAGGTCAATTTCGTGTGTTCGTATAAGCAAAAATTACAAGTACGCACATATATCCTTTGGTACGTAGATGTAGATATGTCAACAAAAAAGAAAAAATATTTTAATTCATACTTGCATTTTGAAGGGTACATATAGCTTGTAAGATGCCAGTTGTGCTGTGGCATAGTTGGTAAAGGCGAAGCGATGATGATGCTTTGCTGATACGGCATGGGTTCGGGCCCGGCTAGATGTGGTGGTTTATATTTATAAAATGAAATATTAATTTGTGGTCAAAATTGATTTTTTGGCTTTTCTGCGCATTGTGAAATAGTTGAAGAAGAGGAAGAATTCTGGACAAGGCGGGGGAAACGAAAGAGAAGGGATTCTGCGCACTTGTCGGCATTGTTGCCCGTTTTCTGTAACGCGCAGAAAAAATATTTTGTTTAGACAACTGAAGTGAGCAAAGGGAAGGGGGATTTTATACACTGTTGCGACTTTTCCGATCGGCGCGGTGGTTGACAAAATTTTAGATTTTTAGATTTTGTCAACGCCGCGACGAAAATCAACTTGTGGACGGCTCATGTTTGTAGCGGGGCAAGTGTGCGAGGTGCGCGCGAGTTTGTGAATGGAAGTTTTTGCTTTTATGAACGAATTTCTTGCTCGATAGAAGCGGGAGTTCGGGGAAAAGTAAACGTGACGTCTGTATGTTTCTAGTTGTAGTATTTGTATGTATGTGCAGAAGTATTTCGTTTTGATGTTTGTAGATTTTTGTTTAGTGATTAGAAGTGGTTAATTATTTAAGATTATGTGCATTTGCATACATATGCACGCATGCGCGTTGTTAATATGTACAGACATAGGTACTTATGCATGGGCGTATGTATGTACATATACACTTTTATTTTTCAATCATATGTATTTTAATTTTGAATTTTATTTGTTCATATTTACTTGTGGAGATATCTGCCACTTATAATTTTTTTATCCTATTTTTAAATAAAACAATATATATCAGCAATTATTCAGCTTTATAATTAATCAGTTTTCTGATTAATAAAACTAATTCGATTCTGATTAATAACATATAAATAATCGATAAATTATTAACTTTGATTAATCAAAAATTATTATTCTTTGATAAATTACATAATTATGTTTCTATTAATCAGCTTTTTCTTTCAATTGATTTACTGCACATCCCTATTACATATATGATATGGGCGATTCCACCGTCACGGGTGCGACATTTATACAGAAAAATTCTCCTTTCTGGTTTAAATTTAAGTAATAAGTACTCAACAATTCTACATTTTGATAAAGCTACTCCTAATCGACTATTTTATGAGTTATTACAAAATACGAAAAAAATTCCAGCTTACTTTTATATGAAAAAAATCTGAGCCATTTCTTCTATCACGGGTGGGGCAAGAAAAAAAGAACCTGCTTTTTGGAACAGATATATTTTACGGAAACTCTGCGAATTTCTTTCACTTTTCTGTGTGAACTTAAATTAACATTCTCTGATAAAAGCGGCATTACTACCGTACTGATGAAAAATGGCAACATTGTTGCAACTGCCCAACTGATAATACATTGCTAGAAATTCATACAGAACGTGAAACTTTAATAATTTGCGCAACAATGCGGTTGTGATTGCAACTCGAACAAGCCCCTACTTGCTTCTACTTTCTGCGCGCCTGATAGAATTGGTCACTGGTAAATCGGTGGTGCCACGCCAACTGAAAAAATTTAAATTGCAAACATGGCATATTTTTAGGCGCTTAGTGGAAAATTTGTTAATTTATAAGCATTCCAAAGTGACGGGAGGACATTTTAACTCGCTTTTGCTCAAACTTTTAGTAAACCCACTTTAACTATAGATTCGACAAGTGTCAAACTGTTAACACTTGAAGTCAGATAGATATCAGTTTATTATATTATTATAATTTACACAGAAATTTAATGTTTTCCAAGCGTGACGGGGAGATAACGATGACACCCGCTTCTCTGAGTTGTTGGCTACGTTTTCCAATTTTAGACACACTATATATATTTCGTTCAAAGCGGCTTTATCGAATGTAGTTAGTAGAATGTTAAGTACCATTTTATCCTTTAATGGCATTATTATATTTTACAATACAAAAAAAACCTATTGTAGCTTGTGACGGGTGGGACGAGTCACCTTTGAGGACATATAGCTCGTGAGCAAAATGAAAACTGCTGATTTGATGTGAATATTTATTATATTCAAGGGGACCTCATTTATAAAATGGGAAACTTAATAATTTGTGTTACGTAAAAAATGCATATTTTGCTGTAACGGGTGGGACATCAAATAAGCTTTTTTTTTTAACTCATAACTTGTTCTTTCTTTTTGGATAATTATTCTTTGCATTGTCACCTTTAGTACATGAGAAATGCCTTGAAAACTTGATGTAAATATATTACAGCATATTATTTATGCATTTATAACAATATATAAAATAGTGAAAAATAAATCGTTAAAAATCTAGTTCTAAAGAATTATTCTACCTGCTCTACTGTTTTTGTAGATTTAAACACAATTTATGTAATTTATTTTTTCCCGGAGGAGCCGTCTTCGCAGGAATGACCCTTTACTCATCTGCACAGCGACATAGATAATACCATAAATAAGGCAGGAGTGGTTTTGGTTTAATATTTTTATTAATTTCATACCACTAAACTTCTCTGAACACTGAAGTTTTGTTAGGAAAACTTAATGAAGTAAAAAGATTAAATGTTTATTCTATGTCACTTCTTTTGTAATAATTATTTTGCTGCTTTCGGCTTTCATAACTTTATGCATACTTGGTAAAATCACGATTGGTGTTTTGCTTCTTTAAGGGATCGTGTGTATGGTCATCAGGATCGGTACCAGCAGATGAGCCACTCTGATGTTGGTTATTCTGTTGTTCAATCAACTGAAACGTAATTTATCATGAACAATATTCCATTGGCATTTAAATAACTGTATGTATATACATTACCTTCGTACGCAGCCGTTTAATTATACGCAAGCGTTCTAGCCAATTGGACGCATATGGATTTTTCTTCTGCAAGCTCTGGTATACTTGTGAGGCGAGCTGTTTAGAAAAATATGTACATTAATTGTGTAAGAGAATATTTTAATTTAGTTTTCATAAAGTTACGTTCGCATGCAAAGCTAATTGACGAGCCAACAGGGGGGCGCTGTGGTCAGACACTATTTTAGGTTCAGGATGGCAGACGAATTTTGAAATCTCAGGACGCGCTTTCACATAAACGCGGTTACTGTTTAATTCTAAGGGCTCCACAATAACACAAGCATAATTGAAGTGACCCTGGCAAGAAGAAGTCAAATTTATTACTTTTAAGAGCGTATTTTCTATATTTCTATGCTTACCGAAATCGTATTGAGGTTATATTCCTCGCCACTCTCATTATAAACGATTTTAACAAAATCATTGCCGATATGCTTTTTCTTTTCATTGCAGTTAGGATCTTTCTGCAAATTTGTAGGCATCAAAGTAGCGACGTGGAAAGTAACCTGCAAAAAAAATGTAAATTGAGGTGTAAAAATGAAACTGAATATTACTGGATATCGCTAGCGGTAATAAGTACGCAGAGATCACACTTTTGTACAACCAACCTGCACAATGTCGTCCTTCCACACGTATGTGAATTTCCCATCAGCGCCTCCCCTGTCTAAATTAACGAACAGGTTTTTCTGTTCCGCTTCCTTCAGACTAACAAGGGTACCAATATTGCTGAGAAACTCAACGTACCGCATGCTACCATGTGAATTCCTCAAAATTTCTACTACGTTATTACATTGGCCTTGACCCACATAGAGCACGCCGATTTTATGGGTCTCGAACGGAGGCGCCAAGTCAAGAACCGTCAGTACATTTGTTTCTTCTGGTGGCACTTTGATCGGCACATCAGTAACTTGCAACTGACCGGTATGGTAGAGCTGCATGAACACAAAGCTCGGATTCATGCAAAGCTTGGCGTTCACAGATGGCTTTGAGTTATTGTTGAAGCTTCGGAAATTTGAGGTAGTTGGCCTTGAACGGCCATTTACCTCACGCACTACGGAAATGGTCTTGGAGCGGCCTCTCATCATGTCACCGTTGCTGCCATTTCCGTAGTCACCTCCGCCCCCGCCCAGGTAAGAGGAGCCACCCGAAAGGTTTGCGTTGCCACCACCGCTGCTGCTCGATTTAGCGAGTCCTTGATGAATTGTGCTTGGTGCATTTGTAAAGGTTGCAGTTTTTGAAGCGCCAATGCCGCTGGGCTGTTTGTCCAATCGCGGTGATTGTGGTGATGGTGCCGTTGCCGTTGCCGGAGAGTGCGGTGGCTTTGATGCGACCTTTTCAACCGCAACATTTAATTTTAACGAGGAGCCAGATGAAGACTGTTGTACCGAAGATGCGGGCACGCTCGCGCTAATGCTAACATCATCCGCAGAATGCTGCTTCGGAGGCAGTGTAATTGTGGCAGTACTGGTTGTAATAAGCATCTGTCCAGCTGTTACGGCAGATGTAACCACAGTGGGTATAGCGGATTTATCTGTAGCTACTGCAGGCACCACATCTGAGGGTGCATCCGTAGATTGCGCTTGTGGGGGAGTGGATCCTGCAATTTCCTCGGGAATCGCCTCGCAGCTAACACGCATGTCTTTGGTGTACTGTACGCTCTTTTTCTTTTGTTGCAACTGCATTTGTTGTTGTTGGTTTACCTCCTCAAGACCTTGAAGACTCACAGAGTATTTGCTAGCTTTTGCCTTGGCTGAATCTGTCGCCAAAGGCGCTGGCTTTGCTGTGAGAAAAGTCTGTCGCCAGCTGGAGCTCATCTCTGGACTTGAATTGACCCGGCGTACTGGGTTGCGTGCACGCGATAGGCCATCTGCAAACTGCATTGTGTCATCATCAGCTTCGCCATCGCTCACGCTATCTGCGAGTGCTTCTTTGCCGCCTGCACGCTTAGTGCATAGTGGCTTGGGTATGTCGATGGCCGCCGTACTCAGTGATGCTGCAGACGGCGGCATTGTAGTCGACGACGAAATCTCTTCTTGGCGCTGTAGAGGGCGTGCTTTGGTAAAGGCGCCAGATTTTCTCTCCTCCGCACCAGCTGATGGGTTTGTAGCTGGCTGCACTGTGTCGTCGCTTTCCGGGCCTATAGTCGTATCGGGAGCTGGGAGCGTTTTAGTAGTTGGTTGCACAACATCCAATTGCACACCAGTTTCTTGCTGATGCTCTGGCATTAACGCCGACTGCACGAAGTCAGGCCCAAAAACACCGCCATGGGCTGTGGGTAGGAAAAGTGAAACTATGTTGCTAAAAGGTAGATCCTGCCCGAAGCAATCATTTGCGATGGGGTTTTGAATGCGCGTTATCCACGAAATGTTGCCCGTCGGTCGACGTATCAAAATCTCCGCCCAACCAGTGCAGGAACGGATACACGTCTGCTGTTGTACCGCCTGTAATTGTGTCGGAGAAGCACTTATACTCGTCGTCGATAGCGAATGACCTCCCAAAAGAGAAGTTGTACTGCCACTTGCGGCACCTCCACCACCTTCCGTGGGCTCTGGATTAGAGCCTCGTCGCGAAAGAGCTTCGAGCGAAGCGGTAGAGCTGTTAGATATTTGACGTTGAGTTATGGCAGTGTTAGTATTCATCGCCGCTGAGGCAGATGATGAAGAGGAAGTGAGATCAGTGCTGCCAGCCGACTCGTTTCCACTACTATACTGAAGGCTGGCCTTAGTGTAACGACGCTCGACGGTCGAGGGGGCGCCGGAAGAGTGCGTATTGGTAGCTTCTGGCGACAAAGGCGCAGTGCTGCTCGATTCACTCTTATTTGCTATCAAAACATTGTTACTGAGGGGCTGTTTATTCATTTGAGAACAGCGGTCGCAAAGCCCATTGCGTATTGGTGCTGTTGGGCAGCCAGAAGTCGTGATTGTAATCAAGTTGTGGCCAACTACCCAGGTCTGTGAGAAGCCGTCTTTCAAGAGATATTCCACTGCTGGTAAGCTAAAGTGTCAAAAGAAGACAAAAGAAGCAAATTGCGGACATCGATAAGTTTCGTTTATATGGAATTATGCAACTATTTTGATTTTTAACAAGCAATTGGATTTAATAATATACATATACCAATACTAACTCACCGTTTAGGTAAAGCCGAACACGGCGAAAATGTATGCCTCGCCAAGAAGTCTATGCAAGTCTCTGCCAACTCTGCATGAAAGCTCTTTAAACTATCATTGATTGGTGGTCGCATATCGGATCCATTTCGTACACTCGTGTTACGACTACCACGTTCTGTCAAACTGGTGCTTCGTTTGCGATTCGAAGAGTCCTCGTTCAAGCTATTCAAGTCTTGACGCTGTATGCTGTGCTTGAACTTGTCAATGTCATCATACAGCATACTAGCATTCGATTGAATCGACTGAAATTTACAAGACATTCAAATTACCTATGTATAGAGATCAATCTGCAAAAACATACCGATATTATGTAGGTGACAAAGTTTTTTCGCATCTCTAGCTTGCACTTTAAGAACCAACCAGCAATGACATGGTGTGCCAGCGATACGGTATAATGATCATATCTATTAGGTTTGGTATACGGCAATGAAATTGCAAACACATACATATATTGGCGTGGTATGAAGTTTGTAAAATATTGATTCGGCATACGGCTCAAAACTAATAATGAAAAATCCATAAATGTGTAAAAGGTACCACATTATTTCTACTCAAATACATTACTTGATAAGAACTCCAAAACCGGTATAGCAACCATAGTTGTATCGGACATCTTGCTCATCTGAAGCAATATATCTGCCAATGTGCGTGTTAAAGTATCGGGCATTTCAAGAATCATAGTCGTTAATGTATTGATGCAAACATTAGCAGTGCCAGAAAAAATGCCGGAACAAAGCGCTAATATCAGTGTATTAATTTGATGTGATGATATACTTTGATGGTATATAACTAGAGAAGCAATTGCAGGGAGAAACAATGCGTTCACTTCATCGCTAGTGGGACAGTAACTGAGGTGCAGTGTTTTGTTGACATCTTGAAAAATGCGGAATAAGGAAACCGCAAGAGCTTCGATATCATTACCTTGGATAAGAGCTTTATTGCATAACACTTTCGGTAGTTCTTTAATAACTGATTGTAAGACTTCATAATCTATAGAAATCCAATGAAGAAAATACGTTTAACATTAATACTTGCATATAGTAATGTTATTGATATTTTCACAATTACCGCGTTCCAAATCTAAGCACTTAACAATTATTTTACAAGCCCTGCGTATAGATATAGTCGTAAAATGCGAGCCAGCTATTATGTCGTGCGAGGTTAACTGATGTCGCCCATGTTGATGCCCTTGTGGAGGTAAGCTAGAATCGATGCCTAAATAAGCACTAAATTTTATTATCTCGCCGTTTTCAGAATCTGGATAACCGATGTGGTAGGAAGCATTAGAACGAGCACGTAGAATCCACTTGAAGATCTGCAAAATATGCCAAACTCGGAGAATCATCTACCATAAAATTTCGTCAAAAAAATAAGTTACCTTAAAGCGAACAGCACGGGCATGTTCGAAAACTTTGGGGCGGTCGTAGTGTGTCTCCAAGTGACCGATCAAAATATTAAAAATTTTAATGGCATGTGTTGAAGGCAAACGGTGTAGCTTAATGCCAAAAATTTCTATTAATCCATGTACTGCCGTCACAACATCCAATATATCCGATTCACTTTTGATTGTCGATTCCCCTGCGATAAGCTGCTGCTCGAATGGTCGATTAATGAGCTTCTCTAATATGTCCAATAACTCGCCGCATCGCTTGGTGTCACAGTGGCGTACAAAGCCCACTAAAGCATTTGCAACAGCCACTCGTATTTCCAAATCAGCTTCATGAGCAATTTGTGAAAATTGAGGAATAACGACACGATCGAGTATCTCTTCTTCATAGCTAAAACGATTTAAATCCATAATGCGAACCAAAGATTGAATTGCCTTTAAACGCACATTCGTATTGGGCATTTTGTAGAAACGACAAACAAAATCGTTGAGCACTTGTAACCATTGCGGTCGTGTGGCAGTTACTTTCGTCGAACGATACTCAATTAGTTTGAGCACTGATGTTTCTGTGCGGTTTTCCGCGACGCGTTCGATCAAGTCATAGATACGATTAATATTTGCAAGTATCGGTGCTTTATCATCGTACAGCAGTTTCTCTATACAATCGATGTTTTCATGAAAATTTATTTGCAAATTGTGTAGGCGATCTTTGTTGATATTGATACGTTCTAATTAAAAAAGATCGTTAAGTTAAATTATTCCTAAAACTATATACAGTTAATTCAGAAGTATTTGTTGTTTAGTTTGTTCACGATATTTGAAATGTATTCCATTGTAAATTTTTTTTGTTAATTTTTATTTAAAATATAACTCTTTCTATAACAAAAACCATTTAAACCAATGCTGCAACTTTCTACAAAATTCGCACAAATTCAGCGAATTAAAAAAATGGCCATCAAAATTTGAAACTTCTTAATTTTTTCGCTGTCGGTGCGTTCATGCGTTGTGTGGCAGAAAACGTGCGATAACTGCAGCGAAAAAATTTTAAAAAATCAATGGTAAGTCCCAGCCATTTAAAATTTGCACTTTATTATGTCGAAAATGAATGGACTGCATACTTAAAAAATCTGATTAAAAAGTTGAAAAGTTTAACGAAAACGATTTATAATGGAAGACATTTTGAATATTTTCAATAAAATTTAACAAAAAAGATTTATAGTGAAAGCCGTTTCCCATTTAGTAAAAAAACTAATAAACGAATACGTCTATGAGTAACTTTATGTATGTAAATATGTACATATGTATGTATATAATAAGCTCACCATAGTATTCAATATTATCTAAGATCGCATTCATTGTGTCGCAGATGCAATCCCATATAATTTCTGGCAGTTCCGATTTATAGTAATTGATGACTCGCCGAACACTTAGAATTACTTCAAAGGTTACAATTACTTGCCTGCTGTCTAGTGCCTGAAACAAATATATATGCTTATTATACATATGTACATTCTGCTAAAATATATAACATAAAAATTTTACAAATTCATAATTACATGAAGAAAACTAGTCAGCACAGTCGATGCGTAAAACATGGGTGATACTTGAAAAACCACATTCGAGCCGAAAATGTTCATATTGAGATGAAAGACTGCACCGCGTAACAATTGTTGGTCTGCATAGAGGCTGCGATCATTAAGAATATTGCACATCATTTTCATAGAATGATAGCCCAACTGGGTTCCAAGTAGATTTTTCATGATCTAAAAGAAAGTGAGAAAGTGCGAGAAGTGTACTACATTGAACTTTACATAATACATCTTTAAATACGACTAAGTATCATAAGTGTGAATGAGCGTAATTCTTCTCTTTTGGCTGGACTGATTTTGATAAGATGTGGTTTTGTTCTTACGGGGTCACCTGGAAAGGTATAAACTATGATTTTTCCCGGTAGGTGACGCCGGTAACGCGATTTTTTAACATTTTATTATTTAGAATATGTTAGCTATATTAAAATAAATATTTATTCAAAAAACTGATCCAATAGATGTCACCGGAGTCGATTTTTTTGAAAAGGCGTATGAGATATCTTGGCTACAGGAGGAGAAATATTCGTGGGATAAATATTGTTTACAGTGTAATATATTCTGGAGGGCATAAACATGCATACATAAATACAAGAGTACGAACTAGAACCCCTAAGATAATTTAGTATTTAGCACCGCACCTAATGGTTAGAAGCATGGATATTAATGTTATAACACTTGCACTTACAAATTTTCAACAAAGATATTCAGAGCAGGAACATGATAATTAAGCGAGTAAACCTGTTAACATGGGGCAAATATCAAATTATTTTCATTTACAAAATCAATGATTTGTGTATGTAAAATTGATCGAACGAGATAAGCAAGTCAAACGGAGACTTCAAATTTAAATTCGAAAACCATCGTAAGGCGTAGCCGCCTTACAAACTAAGGTATGTTGAATGCAGAGCACTTGCGGCACATTATTAGGTGTTTATTTTTGGGCTTTACTAATAGATAACATTAGTCATGATAACAATTTTGATACTAATAGCAGGAAAAAAAACGTGGATTGCCTCGTAAGGTGCCTATCTTCCCAGTGGGTACATGCATATATATATATATATATATATACACGCGTGTGTACATATGTAGGCAGGTAGCAATTGACTGTGAAGGGAGCCAAACCTAACCTGTGGATGCAATACGGTTTGACTCATTTCTACAGCACAATCCAGTGGGCGGAAGTTAATAGATAATGCAGAGAAATTACTTGATAAATTGGATAGTTGTAAAACTTTAACGTTTTACTTTCTGAATAAAAGCAACCGTTAATAGGGCGCAGCGAATCAGAGAGAGTTCATTGACTACAGCTGGATATGTACATACATATGAGTATTTATAAACTTCAAAAATATTATTTTTATAATTAATTTTTTTCGCTGTCTTAGGAAGTGATTTTAAACATAAAAAGCTAGAATAACTAAAGAAATAGTATGATGAATTGTAAGTTGTAAAGTAAAATAATAACAGTTTATGTCAAATTATTTGATCACTAATGACAAACCTTTTGCAATACAGTGGTTGGCCAAATCAAAATAAAAGTGAGTGGATTTCTACGAGAACGGGACTATTGCATTTTAAACTAAACTTTTAATAAAGCAAAGCCTGAAGATATTGTATCAAACTTTTAAAGTAATAGGAATCAATTTTGCTTTCAGTCCGTACTTAACAGTAACGTGTGCCACTCAAAAGATAATTGGTCGCTCATTGCGAACTTGGAAGACTGTTGTTGTTTTTTTTCTACCTCTGTGTTGATGGCATACCCGAGGAGCTAATTTGCGCTGCGAAATTTTTCTTCGATGCAAAGGAAAAACTCTGTAAAGTGTGCATGTGTCAGTCCCAAAACTCAAGACACAATTGTAAGCCACGAAATTTACTTCGCATCCATGACAATTGCAACAGAATTGTTCGGCAGGGCACTATTTTTCGTCGAAATGTGTCAGCTGTCAACCGTTCCCACGACAGTCGGGTCTACGAAACCGGAACGACCCAGATTTATATCTGGCCAAGGACTGTAACTCCAGCAACACTCCCCAAAATCTCTTTGGTGAATTTGTATGCTGTTACAACAACAACAACAACAACAGTGCCGATCATAAGCGCAGTTTTCTGCGCCTCCTTATGCTGTCATCGGTAATCCAGACGATTGTGAGACTTACTATTTATGTATGGATGGTAAGGCAGTGTTGCAACAGTGTCCACGCGGACACTATTTTAATGATCGGGTTAACAGCTGTCTTCCAAATTTGAATGTTAATTGCTTGACGGCACATACCATAAGGTTAGCTGTTTTGGGCGCGGCAGAAACATGTCGACATTTTAACAATACTCCTGTCGGTTTCCAGCCTCTCGCAGAAGAATGTGATGAATTATTTTTATGTATAAGTGGACGAGCCTTCACTGGACATTGTCCAAAAGGACACTATTATGATCCGATCACTCATTTCTGTCAGTGGGATGCCAGTAGGAAATGTATCACACGATCTGAGCAGATACTAGACGGACACTATTGGAAAAAAGGGGTTGGGAAACCCAACGTTCCCATTAAATCAGAGAACATACCTGCCTCTGCTTCGAAAGACGTACAAGATCACAGGCGCCCCAAAGAAAACTTAAAGATTCGATTAAAGTAGGAAAGCTCTCGAATTTTGAGGAAATTAAAACTTCTAAAAAAGAAATCGAAAATACAAAAGTTTCATTTGTTTCCGAAACTACAGCACTGGATAGAGATAGAATAATTTAAAACATAAAAAAAGAGGAAGGAGAGAACTCAAAAAACACGTAGGCATGGAGTTATGATGCATTATTACAAACAGTACCTCTCATTCCACAAAAACACTCTATATACGATAAACTTTCTTCGAAATTTACAAATTACTAATTTCATTTGAAAATAATAATGAATAATTTAATAGCATTATGCATGTTCCTAAGAGATTATAAAACCTATTTATGCACATATTTTTCAATAGAAGTACAACAACAAGATTTCTCAAATATTCCCGCCGCGCAAGATTTTTAAGCACAGTACTAAGGGCCAGTTTTTCAGTGCCAGTTTAGACTTAGATTAAGTAAACTGGGTTTAAATTGAACAGCTGGCTAACATTTGATTGGCTGATCTTAGTTTAAACCACGGCTGTGCACTGAAATACTGGTCCTAAATAAATTAAAGCTATGTCCAAAATGCGCTTGGCTAACATCACAATTTTTGAGTGCATTTTTACCGTGAAAAACATTCTCTCTTCTTTTTATGATGAAAGAACACACGCTTTGATCCGTTCTTTTTATTTATATTTTATTCTGAGGTACCCGGTATTTTGTAATTACTTTGTTGTCATAACCGAATGGTGTTTGTTAATTAAAAAAAATCAACGTGGTTGTCCAAATCTGCTTGATTATGTGGTTAAATTTGTTATTCAGTTTACAATAGAACACACTGGATTATAATAATTTTTAACAAGGGAGCATAAGGTGTGAAGTTAGGTATTGTTAATAGCGAATATAAATTTCCCTTACACAACTTTCTAACTGAGCAAAAAGTAAGAACTTAAATAATAAAAAAGTAAATAATTAAATGACTTACCTTCCATGATGCTGGACAATACGGTGAATGATTAACAGTTCGACACAATGTAACAACACACTGTGCCAACGGTTCACTAGGGAATATCGTGTAACACATAACCATTTCAAGAATTGTTAGACATTGCAAACCAATATCATCTTCTTCAACTGTGCAACTCAAATGACAAGCGTTTCTTCAAGTAAAGAAATAATTGTAACAAAAAGTTAATTACCAGCTAACTATACATACTGAACGATACCAACAACAATGTCCTTGTCCAAAAGGGAAGCGTTAAATTTTATTATATTGCCTAGAATATCAAGATAGGGGCGAAGTAAACGAGCTTCAGTTATAGCAGGAATCCATTGCAGCATAAATTTACCAATCTGTTAAGAGTTTTTTTTTATTTGTCAAGAGATGCCTGAATTTTTTGCTTGCATACCTTTTCTTCGAAGTTCTGTATATCTTTACCATTATCAGTTAAGGTATCCAGCAGTTCAAGTCTATGTTTCAGGTCTTCAGGGACTTCATGATTTTGAATGACATAAAAGAAATGGTGGCGCAGCAAATTCAGATTTTTATATTGAGTTTGTATGAGTCTTTTATAAAAGGTAAGCGCTGTTTGACGGCACTCCGCTGGTTTATTTGGTATTATTAAGTCCTTGGTAAGAGTCCATAATTCCGTAATGGAAGCCTGGAAGATAATAATGCAAATTTATGTGCTATAACTCTATTAAAATATTACTTCTTCTAATTTCAAGTTGTGCAGCTGCAGCTCAGACAAAGTCTTGCAACGTTGGGCCGTGGTTTGCTCAGGTCTCAATTCACGTTCGATTTCCGGTCGCAATAAGCGTTCGCTCGCCCCGCCTAGAAAACGGTATTAGGCGAATAAGTGTAACCATCATTGTATATATGTAAATATCCAAAGGGTTGTTTCCAAAATTACAAAAAAAATCACCTGCAACGCCCTTCGCGTTCTTCGTGAAAAACTTGAACTTAGACTTCGAAATCTCCTTATCTTTCGAACTCATTTTCTTCACTCAATTGTTTCTGTTTGTGCTGCTATTTTTGCAGACCTCAAGTCTGCAGTGAATTAACAAATATCTTCACTTCTAGTAAAGAGTCGCAATCTTCACGACCTCACACCACCCATCAGCAAAATTTTCAAACAAATATGTCGCCAAGTGACAAATGAATGACAATAGCATATCAGCTGTTTTTTTGTTTATGCCAGTGATTCCCAAATTGATCCAGGAGGACCCCAGATGTCCACGGGAGACTCGACGGGGGTCTACGTTGGCGTGAAAAAAAATAAATATAACGAAGAGAACGAAGAAAACCACATAATTGTTAAACGCATGAATAAACATTTTTATTATACAAATTCTACTGTAAATCATGTTGTCGTGTTAAATTATTCTTTATCTTATTTGTACACCGTTGTCACAAGCGAAAATGAAGAAAATTCCAGTAAAAAGCCACCACCAAATTGTAAGCAACGAACAAATGTAAACAAACGGCTAATGTCAAAATCGGGCTACTGGCTTGCTGGCGTGATCTTGTATTTTTGGTTCATGTCACACATTGGCGCATATTCATAAGCCGTCATCGATTCGCCATCAGTTAGCAAGTGCCGAAACGAACGAGCTCAATGAGGTACAACATAACTTGCTATCGTCTATCCATGTTAGCTAATAGGGCATTCGCACGGGCGATTTTACAGGCAACAAAAGTTTAAAGCGAAGCGCACATTAGCGCGATTCCATCGTTGCGAATACGTTGCGTATTCGGCTGTTAACTTCGAATCCGCAAACGTGCGCACACTTGAGCGATTTTTTCGCGTCGATTTCCGATGTACAATTCACTCAATTTTCCCTTTATTTCGTGTATTTTCGCACTCGGCGTGCCCAAATCGTACAAAATACTATTATTACGAACGTTTTTATTAGTTTTTGTACATTACACGTTTTTTTTATCTTTGCCTTTATTGCTGTGACACCTTTCTTCTTCTTCTTTGACGCCTTCAAAACGCTGCAAGCCGCGTTTCGAACGCGTTAATAGAGAGGAACATTGAATGTTCGAAAAATTCGCAGCGACGGAATCGTGCAAGTGGGCGCTAGCGCATTAAAATGTATGGGTAGCATTGTTGTAATTTTTGGGCTTGCGGATTCGCAACGACAGAATCGCGCCAATGTGCGCTTCGCTTAAAATGTATGGGTAGCATTGTTGTAATTTTTGGGCTTGCGGATTCGCAACGACAGAATCGCGCCAATGTGCGCTTCGCTTAATGAGAAGTTGAAAGTGAAAAAGTTGCCATCCCTATTCAGACGAGGCGATTTTCGATTCAAAACGAATCGTTATTTACATTATTGAAAATGAATTTAAATCGCAAAATTTTATCAATTGGCATAAATTTGGTAAGCCAAGCGTTGGTAGAAGTGCTTTTAGCGAAGCTGAAAGATAAAATAAGAGTAAAAAAGTAAAAAAGAAAAAAAGTATGTATACAGAACAGTGTTGGCATTTTTTGGTACAATTGTACTTGTTTGATACAATTTCATTTCCAATATACTTTCCTACTACGCAGTACTTTTTAGTACAATTTTGTAATGAATACTAAAAATATATAGCTCTGAAAATTCACAGCAAGAAATTTTTTGTATTCTCTTTTTTTCGCCTGTTCGTATTTACCTTTGTAAGTTTTGAAAAATGGCTTGAACGAACCAGTATAATATAGCCTAGGAAAATTTTTAAAGAAACTTTTCGATACTAAGTTTTATTAAAACAAAATGTCGAAGTCAGCTTCATATAGAAACAAAGTCTTCGTTAGTTATAAGAAGAGATTTTCCTAAATATAATGGCCCGTAGTCATAGTCAAAATAAAGTCGACTTTAAAGTTAGTTGCAGCTTTTTTGACAGATATCCCATTGAAAATTATGTCAAAAAGCTGCAACTAACTTTAAAGTCGACTTTATTTTGACTATGACTACGGGCCAATACCTTTACGGCACTCACATATTGACAAGATTTTACTATTTATTTTATTATTCTTTAATTTTAATTATCTGTTTATAAAATATAATGTATTCTTTAAGAAAAACTGTATAAACCCAAGATTAGATCTTTGCGAAACATCCAAAAACCAACATACTTTCGTAAAAATTTCGAACTTTATTAATATTCTTTAGTTTTTAGACCATTCAATTTTAATATAATAAAGTGCAAGTTTAAAGTAGCTGTGATTTACAGTTGATGTATGGCATATTTTTGACGATGTTGGTAATTTTCTTCCATATTATCTAAGTATGTTCGACGATTTTTTTAATGAAGAAAATGAGCAACGCCTCACTGTGTTCTGTTTTGGGAAAAAATGGACCAAATCAAATATCTCCCGATCCAAACCAGATAGAGACAAAAACTAAACGGCATTATAAAGCCCAAATACTGGTGAAAATTATTCAGATTCTTCAAAAGCAGTTTCTCGACCTTGAATTCCAAGGTCGAAGTTCAACTAAAAAAAAAAATGTATATATAAAGCAAATATCTAGCGATCGAAATTTAATAGAGACCAAAATTAAATAGTATTTTAAACTCCAAGTATTGCTGAAAAAAACCAAACTGTTTCGATTCGTCAAAAATAAATTCCCTATCGTAAATTCCGGGGCCAATGGTCAACTAAAAAAAAAGAAAAATTTTCTAACTTAAACATATCTAATTGTTTTTTTAAATCGTTTAATGCGATATACATACATATAAATGCACATATGTATGTGTGGTGAGTCATATCTATATATTTTTACATACACAATATCACATCTATATAGATACCCTGCCGGAACAAAGTATTGGCACAGCAAATTTTTCACAATATATGCAACAATTTTCATTCCAATATTTTTCCGCTAATTTCATATAAAAATATGGTTCATTCTACAACAAAAAGCATACAAATATAATTCCTAAATTTTGTGCAAAGCTCGCGAAAATTCAGCAAATTTTCATGAAATTTTCAACTTTTTAATCAGATTTTTTGAGTATGCTGAGAATTTAATGGGCTGCAAACTCAGAAAAATTCTAAAAAATCTGATTAAAAAGTTGAAAATTTGCATGAAAGTTTGCTGAATTTTCGCGAGCATTGCACAAAGTTTGGGAATTATATTTTTATGTTGTTTGTTGTAGAATGAACCATATTTTTATACGAAATTAGCGGAAAAATAGTAGAACGAGATTTGTTGCATATATTGTGAAAATTTTGCTGTGCCAATACTTTGTTCCGGCAGTGTATGTATATAGATCTGATATTGTGTATGTAAAAATATACCGATATGACCCTCCACACATACATATGTGCATTTATATGTATATATATCGCATAAAACGATTTCAAAAAACAATTAGCTATGTTTAAGTCAGAAAATTTTTCTTTGTTTTTTTAGTTGACCCCGGAATTTACGATAGGGAATTTATTTTTGACGAATCGAAACAGTTTGGCTCTTTTCAGCAATACTTGGAGTTTAAAATACTATTTCATTTAGGTCTCTATTATATTTCGATCGCTAGATATTTGCTTTTATATATAAATTTTTTTTTTAGTTGAACTTTGACCTTGGAATTCAAGGTTGAGAAACTGTTTTTGAAGAATCTGAATAATTCTTCCGTATGCACCAGTATTTGGGCTAAATAATGACGTTTAGGTTGTGTCTTTATCTGGTTTGGATCGGGAGATATTAGATTTTTTCCATTTTTTCCCAAAACAGAACACAGTGCGCCTTCATCAAAAAAAAATATATTAAATATTAACGATAAGTCGCAGCTATGTATTTTAAACTTGCGCTTTATTTGAATTGATCGGGCTACAAAACTGCATACTCAAAATATGTATTTCTAGGAAATCTAATTAAAAAGCTTTGCGAAAGTTTGCTGATTTGTTAATGTTGCGCAAAGATTAAACTTTGGATTTATACGGGTTTTGTTAAAGTGTAAACTGCATTTTTATAAACAAATAATTAAAATTATATAATTTTAAGATAAATATAGTTAACATGTATAAAGTTTTGATAATCACTTGAAATGTCAAGTTTTAGTACTGAATTCAAAGAAGATGTCTCTTTTATCCATTCATAATAACTTAAAACAATTTGTTTGTTAAGAAGTGTATCTTAAAGTATCTGCCTTGACATTTATGTTAAAAGTGTAAAAGTGTAAAATATGTAAATGTACCTACATAAACTTTCCCGTGAATACCATCAAATCATTGGTCTTGAAGAGAATCTATGTATGCATGCATGCATATGAGCAAATTAAAAATTCAATACAATTTACAGTCGAAAAGTACAGTTTTTGTATAGATTTCGTACTGAAGGAACAATTTTATTTCCCAACACTGTGGGGAACTAAGCAAAATGGCCTAGTCTATTTCGCAAATATTCAAATACATAATCCACCAACCGATAATTTTATATATTCGGAAGGGTAAAATAGTATTGTGTTATTAATTCAAAAATAAAAAAAAATTTCACTGACGAAGGGGGAAGGGGATCTATCCCCCCAAACCCACCCCCTGGCTACGCCACTGCGAGAAACATATATGTACATGGTTGAATAAATAATTGGGTATTATTATTGTAAGTCTCCTGAAGAGAACCAGAGTTTTCCGATCGAAAAATATTGATTTTCAAGAATTCTACGAAAGGTTGTTTTTTCCCATATAAAAATACATGGAAAACTTTGAGCGCTTTGAGCGACCTCTAAATATTTTTTGATTCTAAAATAAAAAAATAGGGGTACACTTTTCTACATAGAACAATCCTAGGGGGTGAGAGCATTACAATTCCGACTCTGCTGTTTTTGGACCACCCTAATGTGCATGCAGTCATATCAAGAGCACCTCATTTCAAAGTGATATTGTTTTCCACCTATGTTTATTTATTTATTTTTAAGAATTTTCATTAAAATAAAGTTCATTCTCTGAAGAAGTCCATATAAACCCATTCATTTTTTTTTCGTGCAACCCTGCGTGAGGTGAACGCAAAAGTTGCCTGAAAAATCGCCCCGTGCGAAAGCCCCGTAAGACAAGTCTCCACTCTAGGCATGTTACCGCAGAACTCCACAGGCGAACAGCGATGGCCTACCAACTGTCATTTTGACGAGCAATGTGATTGCAAGTTTTTGTGTGTGGGCACTTTGGTGCCTCGAAATAAGCATTTGCCGCATGACGCCACCAGACAACGTTCTCTCAATTTCGGTGTTTGAAAACATTTAAATCTTTAAAAAACTAGCTAAATAATTTCCTAAAACGTAATCATAAATTATCCAATACGGAACAGATTTTTATTTTGATTTAATATCAAAATTTCATCGATGTTACCAGCGGCACGCTTTCTTTCAAATGAAAATATGGCTGTCAAACTATCGAATTGCCTGCAATAGATGTCAAGCAATAAGCGCTGACATATATTGCAGCACATAAGAAATAGGCGGTCTCCATTGGAAATATATTTTGTGACATGGTTATCACGACATCAGTGTTTTCCTGTGGAGACAGGGCCTTAGTTGCAAAAATACATCGATGTTTTCTTTGATTTGATTTTGCATCGAAATGTGCATCGATATTTTTCGATGCATGGATTTGAAAGGGATTTTTCAGATAATGTTTTACAACAAAATTTGATATTAGCAATATTTTACAAAATTTTAAATAAATTACTGCAACTGAGCGGATTATGTTTCTAAAGAAACTTTTTGGAGCCATTTACATTTTTTGGTCAAAGTCACTTCTCTTTTTTATACAATTTAAAAACTGTAATGACGGTTCAATGTATTAGCGATGCCCGTTTTCAAAAAACATCGATACATCGACTATTTATACATCGAGTGTAAAATTTTCGATGCATCGAAGCAAAACATCGATATTTTCGATGCATCGATGTTTTTCCGAAATCCCTACTCCACTCACAATACAACTCTGACGAAAAAGAAGCTGGATTCGGATTTTACAGCTTACAGCAGAAATTTTGTGACATCCATATTTGTTTGCATATGATTTTCAATATTGTGCTTTGAAAATCAACGAATTAAAGTATTTTCGACCATACTAGAACTGAAGAATCAATAGCTACGTGGACCGTTACTCGTATTATATTCACCGCTTCACTTGCATTGTTTTTTGTGCGTGTCAACGACCGAGCAGTTGTTGGTTTTTGTACTTGGCTGCCACCAATTAGCGGACCTCCCCAGAAAGCGTCTCGAAACAACGAACAAGGAGTGTAAAAGTCAAATAAATCCACAAATTTTTTGTAGTCCAGGTATGTTGTCCGAAGGCCTCTGAATAAAATTTTATCATATTTTACCATGCAATTTTTTTTTCATTCGGACAAAGCCGTAGTCCTTGTATATACCACATTTCAAAATAACACGTATTGTTATATTGCGAAAGTGAAAATTGCTGCACCATCATTGCGAAATGCACGTGATGTATGGCAATAAAAAACGCATATCTTGTGCTGCTAAATGCAAAGGGATAAATATACAGATACTAGCGAGATGAAACTGTAGAAACTCATATTCTAGATAACATACTCTTGTTTGTATGTATTAAAAAATGCAGGGGCATTTTGAAAATAGGCAGTCAATATGAATATTTGCACAAAAATAAACACTTGCAGCACAATGCGGTATACTTAAAATGCATATGATATGTACGTATTCAATTACACTGTCAATTCACTTCTCTCGATTAAGTTCATAAAGGGAGTATGGCTTTATATTATTATGTACTCTAATTAAATGTCTAATATGTATGTATGTACATATGGTTTTATGTGTATTCAGGCAAAGTTAGTTCAAATTATGATTTGCTATGAACGCGATGAAACTATTTTTTTCTCTTGGGGGTGTCAATTTGTAAAGTTATTACTTTTTTCTAGCAACTGATCTGAAAGAAAGGCGACCATGAGTGCAGCTGAAGAGACCAGTCAACCGACAACTCCACAAGATGCACCTGATTCCGAAGACCAGGTATTTTCATTTTAAGTTGTTATTCATTCTGTTTTAATATAAAATCTACCAAGTCTGAATATTTTGAACGCTACACTTTGTAACTTATTTTATTGCCCATTTTAGGCAAACGCACGAGAGTTGGAGAAGATCGAAGAAGAGAAATTGAAATCGAAGTATCCATCAGGATTACGTGGCCCTGGTGGTCACTCAGCTTTTCTACAGAAGCGACTACAAAAAGGCGTATGTATACTTGATTCTTTTTGGTTGATTAAAATAAAAATGCCCATCTTAATTTTTAGCAAAAATTCTTTGACTCTGGTGATTATCAAATGGCAAAACAGAAGGGTGGCGGCGTTAAACAAGTGTTTGCCAACAAGGTAGCCACTGGCGAAGCAATACCTACACCAGAAACAGTGCCTGCGCGTAAAACCTCGATAATACAACCATGCAATAAATTCCCAACGACGAGTTAAGGGAATTGTTGCCATAGTTGAAAAATTTAATAACTTGTTTCACCAACTCTAATACATATAACTTAATTTTAAAATCGCTTAACTACTAAGCTTCCAAAAAGCATAACTGCATATATGAGGAGTATTCAAGAAGGCAAACAAGTCCGATTGAATCTTCTCTTTTTTATTAATAAAATTTGCGTAAATTATCTTTCGATGGCGCCCAGTTCCCAAGTTAAATAAATAATAATTTTGGCGCAGTTGCCTCTTTAACATACCACTCATGATTGAATTTAGTTTTAAGTTTTATTCAGAAGCAATTCTCGTGTCTGCTTTTTTGACGTCGAATATTATGGCCCATGTGTATTGTTTTGGGGTTTCTTAAGCGTCACTTGAGTGTTTAAACTAATTTTCAACAATTATTCTTCTGAAAGCCGTTAACTACTTTGTACACGTTGAGATGTGAATATGAAATAGCATTAAAATGTAATAAATGTAATTTGAACAAGGCGAAACCAGTTTTTTTTTTTAATGTAAGCAAATGTCTAACTAAAAATTTATTAAAAAAATCTTGAGACTGCAGCGAACGTTTTTCGGTATTTTAATTTTTTTTCTGGCCACTTTATCAAGTTTAGTGTTTGGCAGCACTGATATCTCTGAATGGGAACAATCAATTTTTTTTAGATTAGTCAGAGAAGTGTTATTTTTTTAAATAAATAAATTAACTTTTATTACTTTTTGTGTTAAAGTTTCATCATACCGACTAAAGATATCACATACAATATAAGGCTTTCAATATGCAGGTACTTACTATTGATATACATCCATACACACATCCATATGTCAAACAAATTGGCCATTTCCAAATATGGTAATGAGGGTGTCCCAAAAATAACACTTCCATGCAGTTACAAGTTAGCAGAATTTTTTTATTGGATTCAATTTGTAGGACCCTAATGAAGATACCGAATGGAATGATGTACTCCGTGCCAAGGGCATTTTGCCCCCGAAACAAGAGGCTGAAATTACGGAGGAACAAATCCAAGCTATGGTGGACGACGCTATAAATAAACGCACAAATTTGAGGTCGGGAGAAGACGCCCGTTCCAAGGAAATTGACGATATGACACTAGATGAGTTAGATGAACTAGAGGACTCAGAAGATGAAGAGGTCTTGGAGCAATATCGTCTGCGACGCATTGCAGAAATGAGAGCTTTTGCGGAAAAGGCAAAATTTGGCACAGTGCGGGAGATATCCGGACAGGACTATGTAAGTGAGGTGACGAAAGCTGGAGAAGGCATTTGGGTGGTTTTACACCTCTATGCCAATGGAGTGCCGTTATGCGCACTCATCCATCACCACATGCAACAGCTGGCAGTGCGTTTCCCACAGACAAAGTTCTTGCGATCAATAGCAACAACTTGTATACCAAATTTTCCCGAAAAAAATCTACCAACAATTTTCATATATCACGAAGGTCAATTGAAGAAGCAATACATTGGTCCATTAGAGCTACGTGGTGAAAAACTAACGCTTGATGAATTGGAGTTTATGCTGGGAGTAGCAGGGGCGGTTCCAACAGAAATAAAGGAAGATCCACGGCCACAAATCCGGGACAAAATGCTCGCTGATTTGGAGAGTCAAAATATTGATTTCTATTAAATGAGCATAATAAAAAGATAAGAAAAAAAAGTATATGATTTTTTTTTTGGGGGGGTTTCGGGTAGGTTGGCCGGTTTGTATAAAACCACAGCCTCTCAAAATATATATCTTAGTATGTTGTTTTCCAAATGATGTATCCAATCGTCGCTCCACTGATACCAACTGATATATGTATCATTCGTCTTATTCCTCTAAATTCTTTGTCAATTATATCAAAGTAAAAAGTTTATTGTGATTTAATGGTCCACAAGTAACCAGATTATTCCTCGAATTGTTAGTTACGTCAGAATGTATTATTCAGATTAAAATTTAAATGGCTGGGAACCAAGTCCTGTTGTTATTGTAGCGGCTACTAAACCCCGTTCGGGTCGGTTCATCCATCAACGTTGTCGTCAATTTCAGTTAGAGGGATGCCCAGGAAGTGTGCGACTTCCACAGGAGCTGTCCATCCATTCACAGGTCGGGAGTCTACATAATTCGAGACTGCCTTTCTGTGAATGCCGTTCAAGGCCTGTCGATAAGCTGTCGGGTCCAGATGTTGTTTGTTGAAACTATGGACTTCGTCCGTCAGTTCGTAGACTTGCCTCCTGACGTACGTTTCTTTGTCTTTGCCCTAGGTGCTGCCGGCTAGTGACTTGAGGACCTTGATGTGGCTTTGCACTTTGTTGATAATTGCGGTTGTATGCGCAGAGAAGGAGAGCAGACTGTCTTAGGTTACTCCGAGGATCTTCGGGTTGTTCGCCGTCGGAATTGGTTTGTCGTCGACGTGAATTCCCAGTTGAAGTCTGACCTTCTTCCAGGTGGTAAATAGTGTGGCTAAGGATATTTTAGGGAAGAGAGTTAGGCTCCGTACAGTGAAGAAGCGAGAAAGCTCGGCGAGATAACCGTTTACTTTCGAGCAAAAGTCATTAATTCCATTCCCAGACGCTATGATCGAACAATCGTCAACATAACAGACAATGGTAAAATTTAAACAGAAATGGGGAAAGGACACTATCCTGTGGAACCGCCTGTTTTATTTTCCTGGGTTTGCTCGATTTGTCTCTAAAGCTGCCTTTACATGAGGCGATTTTCCAATGCTCTGGAACGGCGATTGTATTTTCGTGTAAATAGTGATTTAAAAATCGCTTGCTTCAAAGTAGACAGCAAGTCAACTTTTGCATGCGATTATCGCCTGTCAAAAAATCGCCTCATGTAAAGGCAGCTTAAAAGTTACTGACGAGTGACGACCTCTCAGATAATTCGCCGACCACCGTTTGAGTCCCTTTGGGAGAGAGCAGGGCTCAATGTCTTCTGGTAGCGTTGAATGGCTGACAGTGTCGAACGCCTTAGACAGGTCCAGCGCTACTAGAATGGTTCTCTCACAGGGGCGGTTTCGGTTTACGGAACCCATGCTGATGCCTCGCTGGGGTCAGGTGGTTTGTATAGTGCGGGAGTTGTAGGCCCTCTAGTGTCTTCGCTACCATGGAAAGGAGAGTTATCGGGCGAGAGGATTCTCCATTGTTGGATGACTTCCCATCTTGGATTGCGTAGCTTTAAGGCTACTTTAGGCACTGTAGGAATAGCGCCAAACAGTGTTACCGTTGTGCGACTTAAGTGTCAAATTGACACTGGTTTTGTTTCTTTTCTTTTCTAGCAGATAATTATCAGGAAGAAGAAGAATGAGAAAATTGAGGGAATTACGCTCACAGACAGCGAAATAAATATTTAGTAAAGAAACGCAAAACTAGCAAGTAAAAAGCTGATCGATGTATTTGACTATTGAAAATAGGAGTGTACTCGTACGCCCAACTATCTAAAGTTTTAGAAAACTTTTACTGGTTTTGCGTTCTCGTAACCAATAAACTTGCAAAGTAGGGGAAATTGAGAGAGCAAAATGTGAAAGAGAGCTGCAAATTTCTGCTGGAAAAATTTTCCCAGCTAAAACTTGCAAGTAAGAAAATCAGCTGATCACAAACACATGTTTGTAAATAAACAAAAGAAAATATGGACTTTTTGAGTTATTTATTGCAAATTTTATTATTAATGCTAGTATACAACGAAAAAGTGAGTAAATTTAATATGCACAACGTTTGCTGTTTATTTTTCGCTAATTTGCTATTAATCTCCAGTTTGTTTACTGAAGTGTGTGCTGACTATGGTTGCCGTATGACATTTTTCGTTTGTACCATAATTTACCTTTAAATATACCAAAATAGACTTAAATGCAGCATGCTGAAATGTGGTTTTGCTGAAGTTTTCGGTTTTGGTAGGTTGATTGCTGAAATGAAAATTTTATAATTTTTAAGCTACATCTGTAGCTATATCTATTACATTGTTTTTGGATCAATGATGGGTGTTTGGAGGAGATACTCTTGTTTTTGAATGCGTCACCATGTGATATCACAAATAATTATGAGAAAAATAACTTATTCATTCCGATATAATTAATTTGTATTTTAAAAAGTTGTTTCTTATCGAAAACTATTCAGTTGTATCAAATGCCAAATCGGGGGAAAATGTACCAAACAGAAAATAAATTGAGAAACTAATCACCAGTGGCAACTTTGCAAGTGATCAGCTGTTTCGAAGGTTGCAAGTTTTTGCAAATTTTGCGTTCTCGTACTTCTGTTGATATTTCGTCTCTTTGAGTGCGAATGCTGCTAACTTCTCAGAACTTTTGCTGCTGGAGAATTTTGTACTCTCAATACGAGTACACACCTAATATTTGGCGCGAATTTTTGTTTATCCATTTTGACAGCTGCTAGAAATTAGCAGGAGAGCCAAAAAATAAGAGCGTAGGAACGAGTTGCTAGTTTCTGCTAGTTTTTTGGTTTAAGAAACGCTTTCCAGCAGAAATTAGTGATAATTTGTGATAATTATCTGTTAAAAAACAAAGCTACTTTTTGGAGATCGATGCCCCCTGACAACGACTTTTTGAAATAGGCTTATTTTGAAACTTCTTAAAAATCATGCGGCCGTGGAAGATCGACCTATCTCGGCAGCCAGTTCGAAAACTCCCTATCTCAAAAAACTTTTCAATACACCCTATTTAAACATTTTATTGAAAAACACCTTATCTCAGAATTCGGTTCGAAAACGCCGTATTCCGGATTCCGACGGACAAATGGTTGCTCCTGGAAGAAAGGATTATGAGGGCACTACTTGGCGAAATCCAGCGTACCAAAAACCACAACATTGGTATGTTTGATGGATCCAGGTGGCAGAAGGGAGTCAAAGTTGTTGGTTGCGGTAACAAGGAATAGTTGGACTTCCTAACAAACTGCGTCCGCAACCAAGATAAACTTTGGGTCAACGCACGACTGGAAGTTGCTCCGCTCTCAGAGGTGTCATCCCGTACCGCAGTGTGAGTGTGGATCCCGCCTCCCCTCGTGGAGGACGAGACCTCACTAGCCCTAATCAAATGTCAGAACGAGAATGTCATCCCTGACGACTGGACGAGTGTCCGAGGCCGCGCTCGCGACAAGGGTAACGGCAAGGACCTGTGGATCAAGATCGGTCCACAATCCTTGCAGATTCTGTGATCATGGGTTTTGGGTAATGTGACCAACCGTACTTCTTTCGGAAGTACAGTACTTCTTTTTTCGCTCCTGTACTTCGTACTTCGAAGTACAGTCAAATGTACTTCTTTACGATATTTTGTACTTCGGTCCTGTTCTTCTCCGTTCTTCTGGACATTCGTCACATGGCCTGGGCGATAAATTCGTTCAAACCATTAAAGTCGCGGGGGACCGATGGCATCATGTCTGCGCAGCTGCAAAGGGCTCTGAAGGTTTCGTGCAATTGGTTGGATCCATGCATGAGGACCGGGTACGTCCACAAGGCTTGGAGGGTAGTCAGTGTTGCGTTCATCCCGAAGGTCGGAAAAGTTTATCAGGTTTCTCTTAGGGATTTTAGGCCTATCAGTCACTGTCTTTCAAGAGCTCAATATGCTTATTGCAAGAAAAGGTCGGTGAATACCGTCCTGCACACAGTGGTAAAGTCCCCAGAAAAAGCCTTCACGCAGGAAGTTTATGCAGTACGGACCTCTTCGATATCGAGCGGGCCTTCAACAATGTCACTCCAGATTTAATAGTCAAGTATATTCATAATCTGGGGGTTGAAACCAACCTAATAAGCTTACTTTATGACAGAACTGTCGCGACGAGTAGGGGAGTCAATGGGAGCACTCCTCAAGGTGGTGTTCTCTCTCCCTGCCCTGGATTGCGGTTGTAAACGACCTTCTAGAGGAACTGGAAAAATGGTCTGGCGAGTGATCGCCTATGTGATGACGTGGAATTTTTGGTTAAGGCGCGATTTCTATATACCCTTTTTGATCTAGTTCAAGGTTACCTGAACCAGGTAACTAGGTGGGCGACTGTCGTAGAAGTCTAACATTGAGGAAAAGGTACGAAAGGTGCGATTGGTATTCATGTGGTGAGACTAGAAACTGACTAGAGACTGATCCTTTTGTATAAGCTGTCAAGAGGAAGTTGAAGTAGAATCATCTCCACACTTTCTTTTAGACTGTCCAACCTTCGCGAGGCTTAGATGGAAACATTTTGGCTCGCACTTGTGAACAAACTCTGAGCTCCCAGGGATCGAAATTAACCGCATTCGAAGTTTCGTAATCGGCTCGCGGCGTTAACTTAACCGAACCTAACCTGTACTTCTTTGAGCTATGAAATAGTTGGTCACATTAGTTTTGGGGGTTAAACTTCGCGTCAGTCAGTGGCGGACCCACGGGAGGTGTTTTAATATGGCGCATATGTATGTATAATATGGCGTTTATCCGCTGGATCGCCACTGCCAACAGCAAAATTCCGGCGAAATGTCATCTGTTCTCTCACAAGAGAAAAATACGTAAAAAAACAAATGCCGAAGTCTTATCCTGACACAGTTGGCTGACTAAACGAATAATTACTTTACTATTTTAACTTCCAAACCATCAAATTCGATTTAGGGATTTGCATAAATTCCAAACATTTTTCTAGCAGAAACTAGCAGCTTTCCCTCAAAATTAAATGTATTTTTGCTCTCGCAATTTCCCCTAC